CATGTTCTTTGATTCTGGTGTGGATGCTTTGGTTTGTGGTTCCAATATATACCTGGCCACAACTGCAAGGTATCCAGTATACTCCTGCAGTGGTGAGGGGGGGCCTTCTGTCCTTTGCTGTCCGTAACATTTGTTGTATTTTTATGGGGGGCTTGAATACTGTTTGTAGGTTGTGTTTTTTCAAAGGTTTCCCCATGCGGTCCATGACCCCTTTGATATATGGCAGAAATGCTTTATTTGTGGGTGGCTATTTTTTTTCTTCAGTTTGGTGATGTTTTCTTGGTTTGATAGCTCTTGTGATTTCATTTTTGGAGTAGCCATTTGCCTGTAGGGCCCAATTCAGATGGTCTTCTTCTTCCTCTTGGCCTATTGCTCTTCAGTTTATGAGAGTTCATTTGCTTTCACTTCTGCACAATCTGATTGACTATGATCCTGACTACTGCCTCCATGATGTACATCTTTATGACAGATGCACCATTGCAATGTAATCAAATAATTTTTATAGAAATCAGAATTTGGAGGAGATTGATGAAGGCAAAAGAAATAATGGCATAGAATGAAGCGGTACGTGGGAAACTGGGTGATGGACACTAACAAAACAATGTAAAAATTGCATTTCAAATGAAAGAAAAAATTATCTTAAAAAGCAGCATGTATTTTGATAAGTAAGTTTTTTTGAGGGCTAATTAAAATCAAAGTCACAAAATTGTCTTAGCTTTATTCTCTGGCAATAATTTTTTAAACAGTAGAACAATACACTATTAGTAGATATTAATTTCTTCAGATTCAAACAAAATAAATTTCTAGATATCAGTGGTAGTAGAGATTTCAGTCCAGTGTTTTTAAATTATTCATATCAAAGCAGTTTTAATCTAATGGTAAACAAAATGATTAATCTCCCCCCTCAACTAATCTGCAACAGAATTCTATTTCTGACCACCCACCTGAGGTCGTATAACTTTCACTATATTTTTCAGTGCAGTATCTGGTGATGGAGGAGAGCAGTCAGGTGTTGGGCCTGTTGAACTGTTTCTATGGTTACTGGTACCTGGTGCAATAATTGCTACTTGAGGTGCATTATCTGTGAATAAAAATAGCATTGCAGTGATTACAACATTGTATAGCATATAAGTTTAGAAACCAGAAGTTTAGAAACTGAATCTTTTAGTTACCCTTTTTGCTTTGTTTGCTTTTCAAACAGAGATATTAACTTTTAAAATTAAGTATGGCATTAAATCAGAGTTATTAATAAGCATCCCAGTCTAACAAGGTTATGCACATGCAGAAATGTGGTTGTATGTCTGGATCGTCCTTCAAGGCACAATTTACACAAAGGTATGCAAAAAGTGGGAGAGAATATTTCCACATTCATTATTAAGCAATATAGAAATAATGCTGCAATTTTGTGCATAACATTTGAATGAAACATTGGCATTCATAGCTACAGTACCGTTTCCCCAAAAATAAGACCTAACGTGAAAATAAGCCCTAGTATGATTCTTCAGGATGCTCATAATACCCTCAAAATAAACCCTAGTTAAATGAAACCCCACCCTCCACTATTATGCAGGAACCAGAAGAAGATGGCATGACTGTAGAATAAAACATCCCCTGAAAATAAGCCCTACTGCATTTTTGGAGCAAAAATTAATTCAAGACTCTGACTTATTTTTGGGGAAACACGGTAGGCTTTTTCTGGGGTGAGCTAAGGTTATATTGTTACTAAGATCCACTGAGGGACCAATGTCATAAAAGCTGTGGTATTTGTCTGGTGAGATAAATCTTGAATGTACAGCTGCACAAATTAATCACAGGTTATTTTAGAGTCAATTACGTTAGTTTCTGTCCTTATCCAAGTTCAATAAATGTGCAAAACTAATAGCTAACCTAGAAAAATCCCATTAAGAAGAAAAATACATTATGTTTTTTCCCATGTGCATTCAATTTTTTCTTTGAAAATATATTCATATATCACGCTTTAAACAGTCATATAGGAAGAGCTCTGTATCTAAACACAGATGGTGTGGATTAGTGATAGTTGCTAGATAATGTTTCAACCCTCATAATATATAAGGTTGCCATCTAAATATTCTCCGTACAATACAGCCATTCAGAGATACAAATCCATTCAGTCTTCCTCTGTCTGAATAATCTCCACTGTTCAATTTGATCGCAGTAAGTATTTTGTATATTTAAGAACTTGTGCCTCAGTTTATATGTTGTATTTTCTTTTTGTGTTGTACCTCTTTTAATAGCAGAATCAAAGGCAGGGACTATCTTGACTGTTACTGATCTTATAGCCTGGTTATGTTTGGCCTGACAACAAGATAACAAGTCATTTAAATAAAAAAAAAAGTAAATGGTCATCCTCAACATCAGAAAATCAATCTATGCTTTATAGATTACAGCAAAGCCATTGATCACAAAGAAAAAAAACCCCAAACAAACAAAAATAAAAACTTAGGGGCTGGATAGATGAAATGAGTTTGTCTCAACACTTGATTATTTTGATGCATAATGTATTCAAGAAACTATGGATCAATACAATGGTCTTCTATAGTTACAGATGTCGGGCAAGAGTACTTTACTGCCACATCTATTCAATCTGTGAATATGAATATGAATACAAATACCCCTGCACAGGTGAAGACAACAAGGGTCCAGCCCCATGGGGCCAGACGGATAACTCACTGATCCGCTGCTGCCATGGACTCAGTGCTCCTGTCCTATCGCTCCGGATCTTGCGATTGCCAAGCGACTCTTCGACCTGGCAGGAAGGCTTGTTGTCCCTTCTCCTGCGAGGAGTGGCTAGCCAATAGCAAGATCCAGAGCGATCAGACAGGAGCATGGAGCCTGCGGCGGCAGCAGATTGTTGAGTGGACCTTCCACCTCCATGGGGCTGGACCCTCGTTATCTCCACCTGTGTGGGAGTATTCGTATTCATATATGAATGCAAATAACCCATCTCTAATTACCTCTTTGAGGATATTTTTGATTATCATGTACAGATGTGGAAGCTCAATAGGAAAAAGCTGAGGAAAGTTGAGGAAAATAATCAATTCATTTGAAATGAGGTGTTGAAGAGAACTTTATAAATACCATGGACAGACAGAAAGGCAAATAAACGAATGCTAGAACAAATTATGCCTGAATTCTCATTATGACTACACTCAGGCCATTGTTCTCTCAACATGAAAAAGCAGGACTCCTTTGAAAAGAGGAGGATGCTGGGGAAAGTTGAAGGAACAAGGAAAAGAGGAATGCCAAATATTAGATGGTTTGACTCAATAAAATAAGCAATAGTCTTGAGTTTGTGACAGATGCACAGAATTCTTAACTGCAAGAGGTCATTCGTTCATACTGCTGCTGCTAGAAGTGACTTAACATCACACAACAACGTGCTGAGAATCGGCATGATGTGCCCCCTCATTTTGTTACAAAATGAATGAGTTGCTATATCAATAAGACAGTATTTTCTTTAATCGAATGGTTGATTAGAATTAATTATTTTATTGTAAATGCCAGGTAGTTATCATTTTAGTGATATCATTATCTAGCTAGCATCTATGTTGCCTGAGATTAAGTCCTATACATTTTCAATGAATGATTGATTTCTTCACTAAAACCTCACAAAGGTTGACTACATTGCTATAAACAAAGGAGAATAATTTATTTCTCATGAATGTCTATACTGGAGGCATGGGTGCGTGATAATTTCATTAGATCACAATAAATTCATACATAACCTAGATTTTGACCTTACACAGGTCAGTCTGGCTACCACAAAAATTGGAATTCATTCCAGAAGCTGGATTTATAGCACAAATAGTCACACTAAAAGCTATATATATATATACATATAATATTTCATTGTTCAAAGGAGGTGTGACTGAGTCAGACCCTTTTTCTTTCAGGGCATGGGCTTCTTGACACTGAAGACTAATGGGAACACACAGGAAGCTGCCTTATACTGAGTCAGATTGCTGGTTTATTAAAATACATTGATATACAACAGAATGATATTTATGTTTCCAAACTCCCAGAGCATCATTATTATACCATATTACCACAAATATCAGCCAGAACATCTAACTAGTATGATGTTCAATGAAAAACCAAAATTATTGCAGAGAAAAAAGAAGACCAATTCTTCAACTCAACTGAGTTACAATGAGAAAAACATGTATATCTATTAATGTTCAAATTTAATCTAGCCCTCAAAAAAATAAATGAATGTTTGTCAGGCATGAGGGAGGAAAGTACTCTGTTGTCCACTTCGTTAAATGAATAGACTCTTTTCACTTAGCTATCACTACAGTCTTTAAAACTTTACAGGACAACTCTTTCAAAATAGAGATTACTGGCAACTAACATTTTTGTAGAGATCAATATGTTCTGAATCTTTTCTTTCAATATAAGATTAGTCAATTGAACCAGAACTGTCAGAAAGTCAAACGACAATAGAAACACCAGCAATTATTGCTATTGCAGCATATTATCTTTTTCCAAAAGTGGTTAAAGAACATTCCTACCAAATGTGCATAAAATTAAGTGCTTCATTTCACAGGAGCTGAATCTGATGCCATATATCAGACAGCTTGGACAATAAACCATGTTGTGGGAATTAATGTTATGCTAGCAATATTCAGACAGATACACATTTCTTCAAATACCATTACAATATAGAACAACTTAGAGTTACCTTTATAAAACATCTGGCAGTGCTAAGCAAGGGGGCAGGGCTGGCAGTGGATCAGGAGGTTTATCACATCGCCCTTGGTTGCGCTGGAGACGAGACTGAGAAAAGTTGAGCCTTCCTCGCTGGCCTTGCCTGCCTGCGGACCAAAAGTGGGAGAGAAAGCCAGTGCCTTCTCTCCCTGCCACTGCAGCATGTTGGCCAGCAACAGCTGGCTCATTGTTCCTGCCCCCTCACCTCTGCTGAGAATAGCATTTAGCCATTCATGTATCATGTGTGTCAAATACAGAATTGGCACTCTTGCAATTCTGTCAGAAAATGAAACTGTTATCTCAGAAAATTGTTGCAGTGGCTAATGTTTTCGTACTCACATGTTCATTTCTTTGGTTTGCGTTGGAACAACACACACACACACACAAAACGGAAAAGAAAAGTCAAATCTGATACAGTCCCACACAGAAATCTAAAAATGCACTGGCCGAAATTATTGGCACCCTGTCTAAATTGTAAGAAAGAATTGCTTTTGAAGCACGTGATGCTCCTTTAATTTGTATTTACACACACATGTCACAAGTAAGAGGTGTGGGAAATATAGTAATCACACTTGCAACCAGTTAAGAGGGAGAAAAGGCAACTCAACCTTTGTGTTGCGTGTGACACTGGGCATGGAGAAAAGAATGAAGTGTAAAGAGTTGTCTGTGGATTTGAGAGAAAAAATTGTGGAAAAACATCAACAATCTCAAGGCTACAAGTCCATCTCCAGAGATCTTAATGTTCCTGTGTCCACTGTGTGCAATATCATCCAGACGTCGACAGCCCATGGCACTGTAGCTAACTTCCCTGGATGTGGACAGAAGATCCAAATTACTGAAAAATTACAACAAAGAGTTGTTGAAATGGTGGATACAGAACCCAGATTAACTTCAAACAAATTCAAGCTGATCTTCAGACACAGGGTACAACAGTGTCAGCTCATAATATCAGTCTCCATCTGAATGAAAAGGGATGCTATGGAAGGAGACCCAGGAGGACACCACTGCTGACACAGGGCATAAAAAAGCAAGATTGGAGTATACCAAAACTTATGTGACAAAACCACGATCCTTCTGGGAGAATGTACTGTGGACAGACAAAAGTAGAGCTTTTTGGTCATCATGGCACTGTTTACAGAAAAAGAAATGAGGCATTCAAAGAAAAGAAAAGTCCCTACAATCATAAATGGTGGAGGCTCAAAGATGTTTTGGGGTTGCTTTGCTGCTTCTGGCACTGGATGCCTTGACTGTGTGAATGGTATCATGAAATCTGATGATTACCAAATAATTTTGGGGTGCAATGTAGTGCAACATAGAGCTGCGTCTCCCCCAGAGGTCATGGGTCTTCCAGCAGGACAATGACCTAAAATACACTTCAAAAAGCACTCAGAAATGGTTATAAAGTGCTGGAGAGTTCTGAAATGGCCAGCAATGAGTCCAGATCTGAATCCTATAGAACACCTGTGGCGAGATCTCAAAACAGCAGTTGGGAGAAAGCATCCTTCAAATCTGAAGACCCTGGAGAAGTTTGCAAAAGAAGAGGAGTCCAGAATTCCAGTAGAGAGGTATAAGAAACTCATTCATGGTTACAGGAAACAATTGATTTCAGTTATTTTTTTCCAAAGGGGGGGCGACCAAATATTAAGTTAAGGGTGCCAATAATTTCGGCCAGTGGATTTTTGGGTTTCTGTGTAGGATTGTACCAGATTTGACTTTTCTCCTCTGTTTTGTTGTTGTTGTTGTTCCAACGCAAACCAAAGAAATGAACATGTGAGTACCAAAACATTTGCAACTGCAACAATTTTCTGAGAGAAGGGTTGCATTTTCTGACAGAATTGCAAGGATGCCAATATTTTTGCCCATGGCTGTAAATGCCTGATTGAGGCCCTCATCAGAGGAATTAGCCTGCTACACTCCACAAAGGCACAAGAGGAGGAAGGGAAAGTGCTGAGGCATTGGCACTTGCCACATTTCGGAGACCCCTACAGTTGCTCTCGCCCATTCCTTGTGGTCGCTGCCTCAGACCATTCCTTCCCACCCCGCTCCTGCAAGGGCAGGGAGGCAGCAGGGCCATGGGGGTGTTCAACAAGGCTGGGAAGCAAGCACTGGCGAAGGGTTCAGCTTGGGGAAAGCAGGCACCTTTCTAGTGGTGCCCTGTTCCACAGTCCTGGAAGCCACCTCAGCTTGCGCTACCCGACTCCTCAGGGCTCCATACATCCCTGTCCTAAACATACATACTGAGATGGAAGACTCCATTGATGGCGAGCTGGGCTTCCTACTACAGCTGCTTCGGGTTTGACTGCAAGCTTTTAGCCAAATGCCTCAGGACTCTCTAGATGAGACTCACAATGCAGACAAGCCCACAATATTTTGAAATTAAACAAGCAGTTCCATCATTCCCATTAATATTGTAGTATACAAGTACAAGTTTGTTGATCCAAATACAACTTATTCATTTATTATACAACAGTTTTTTCCCTTCAGTCCTCAAAAATGTGTAAAATATATGATGTGGTCCTCATACTGAAAAGTTTGGAGACCCGTGTTTTAGAGAGTAGCAAGGATATATGGCTAGATGACATATAGTCTAGCCTCTTAAAACCAATAACAATGTCCACGATTTTAACAACAAAAGTAAGTAATTATTTCCCCATTTTGAGAAATGATCATTGGGCTTAACAATAAAGGAAGAAATAGGATGACACAGTAGCCCATTGCAAATCTAGCGCAGTGCTTATGTTTCCTGTATTTCCCATCATCTTTCAGTTCCCTGCTGTGGACATAAAGCATTTACTGATTCCTCAAAGCTGTCAGCTGTTTAGCATTTATAGGATATTACTATATGTATTATATACTATGTTCATTATATATTAACAGTATGACATCATAAGGTATAACAACAACTACATCTACCTGTCTTTGAGGAATGTCCTCTTGTTATTTCTAAAGAACACGGTTTCTTTGTAACTGTTGTATCCAGAAAATCACAGAGATCATTCTCATTTTCTACAGGAAATGCCTCAGAAGAGGCAGATGGCACTGCTTCCAGTGTATAACTCCTCTTCTTTGGAAATGATTCCTGAAAGATAGAAATGAAATTGTGCAATCGAGATAGCCTTGCTGAAGAAGGGGGGAAAAGAATGCTGTAATAACAGTTTTAAAATGTATAGATTTATGTAAGACATTCATTTTTCAAGTAATTCCATAAAAAAAATTCCCTCAAGAAAAAGTGCATCATAAATATAGCAAGCTAATTTCTGGAGGCATTAGAGTAAGTTCTTGTAGCAAAGGCAAACAAACAAAAACAAAAACCTAAAATTAGGTTTCCATATATAATTATCATCAATATTGTTTTTTCAACATATCTACATACACAGTGCTTTATAAAATTCTGTAAACAAAGATCACTGCTGCAGGGAGTCAAATACACTGTAAATCTTGACCATTGGGTAAATTATGGGTAGAAAGGGAAATAAAACTATTTTAGCATCAATTTCCATGTTCCCCATACCCAAGTAAATCTTTTCCAATATTGGCAGTTTAGAAAACTTGTTTCTCCACCCAGAGCTTGGAAATAAAAGTAATCAAATACAGTCTCAAGTCTTCAAAAGTAGTTAATTACTAATATGATTCTAAAAGTAACTTTCCCATTTCTTAAAAGAAAAAAGTATAACTTTTTAGTTTCTTTTTTTTATCTTAAAGTTGTAAACTAAAATAGTGTCTGGAACAAAATACACCATCCTGTCTATTTCCTGTTGATTCAGTAGTGCAACAAAGCAGCAACTGAGCCATGAAATATTCCTCTTTCACCATTTAGTGATTCTATATACCTGTCACTATAAAAGCAACTTTTTAATTGCTATAAATTTGCAATACCATTAACTGGTATTTTTCCAGCTATTCCATGTAAAGAATAAAGGGATCTCAAGTTAAACTACAGTATAACATAGTTATGAGTTAGTTGCTAGAAAGGTATAAATATCAAGTAATTTGTTATTTGTAGTTATTTATTTCCAGGCTCTGTTCCCAACTGATGTAAAAAAAAAATCTTCTGTACATTGATGGCTATAAAAGAAATCTGTTAGTTATTCCCTTACAACTGAGTAATACACTTGAAAATCAAATCCTGACTTTCATTACAATCTAATTTTAGCCAATTAGAGATGATTCAGCCTTCACTCTCTATAAATTAGTCTCAGTGTCAGAGATGTCTAGGGTTATAAGAAGAATAAAGATATACACATTTTGGATATCATTTGCTTGGCACTAAAAACCTGTAAGAAATTCCTGCTTAGATTTAGATAACAAAAACCTACAAAGTATGCTCTTAAAACTGAAAGTGCTATCATTAATAGTGTGCTATTAATTCAAATAGTCATGACATTTCAGCTCTACAGTAAGATCATGAAATACAAATAAAAACACAAATATCTCAAAGAGAGAGAGAGAGAGAGATCTCAGAACTTGGTTCATCTGCAAAACTCCTGTACAGTATCTACTTACAAGTGGTTTTGACATCTTTCAGCCTGAGTATTAGTAAGTAATATCAGCTGCCAGCATCAGGTGGTTTCCATCAGCTATCCAACTGTCATGAAGTAGTTTGCTAAGAGAGGTGTGCAATGGGATACCCAGATGTATCATATGAGTATGCTATCTAGAAAATGCAATGCCCTTCCATGGCCTAGTTGTTCATTTTGCAGAAAATACTTTATTAAATCTTTGAGCAAGCACTACCTGGAGATCTTGCAACTAGCAAATTTTAACATTTATATTTAGACTGGTGAGGAAATGAAAGGAGTCAAATTGAGCTGAATGCTTCATATGGCAGCTGAGATACTGAGAACTTATAAAGTTCTGAAACTATTTAAATTACCACCATGGCTACAAGTAGCTCCCCAGAGCAGGGGTGACTCCTATAATCAGTATGCGAATTGTGATGCTCAGTGGCTGTTAGAGATGGGACCTGGTTTTCACCTAACTACATGACACTTCACCTTAGTCACTCAGGTTTGAAACATAGCTTCTAAAGAATAATTGTATTTGAACAGTTATAGTATTGTCCTGACAAAGTCAAACAGAGAAACAGATTTTACACCTCACATATACACATACTTTCAACATTAATCCCAGTCTATAATATGATATGATATGATATGATATGATGTAATATAATATAATATAATATAATATAATATAATATAATATAATATAATATAATATAATATAATATAATATAATATAATATAATATAATATAATATAATATAATATAATATAATATAATATAATATAATATAATATAATATAATATAATATAATATAATATAATATAATATAATATAATATAATATAATATAATATAATATAATATAATATAATATAATATAATATAATATAATATAATATAATATAATATAATATAATATAATATAATATAATATAATATAATATACCGTGTTTCCCCAAAAATAAGACAGGGTCTTATATTAATTTTTGCTCCAAAAACGCATTAGGGCTTATTTTCAGGAGGTGCTTTATTTTACAGTCATGTCATCTTCTTCTGGTTGATGCACAATGCTCCACAATGGTGGAGGGTGGGGTTTCACTTAACTAAGGCTTATTTTTCGGGTAGGACTTATATTGCGAGCATCCAGAAAAATCATACTAGGGCTTATTTTCAGGTTAGGTCTTATTTTGGGGGGAACAGGGTAATATAACCCTAACATTAATATGATTAATTAATTATTTTGTGACCAGAGAACACTGTCTGACTTTTCTCTCAGTTTTGTAGACAAAAAGTATTATTCCAACTGCATCACTGACTGCATTTTATTTCTGTTATGTGTATAGGTAAAGATATTCTGTCTGATTGACAATTTATTATCATCCTAGTAGAAAATATTGGTCATACAATATGATTGACGGTGAGTGAAGCCCAACTGTGTTTGCAGCACTCTTCTCAGAGAGAGAACAGCCAGATCAACCTTAGGGGCCAAAGATGGTAAATATCACATCTCCTTAAACGCCTCTTGTGGGTTTTGCAGGGGTATCTGTTTTAAACCACCTATACTCTTCCATTCAGTAGGTATATGATCCAATAAGCAAGACTGCTCAAGAGACTGAGAGCGAAGTCACATCACTGCCATTATAATTTATTGTCCAATCAAAGATGATAATAATTTAAAGAACATCAAAATATATGAACTGCAAAACATCATACTGATGAATGAAGTTCTGGTGCCAGAAATTGGTCTACAACACAGCTGACAAAGGCAATATACTATTGCATGTATGACGGGATCAAGCAGGCTTTAGGTCCAATACAGAAGAAATCTGCTCCCTTGAAGTCTGCTACAGGCGTAATCATCCAGGACTGAGCACAGCAGATGGACCGCTGGGTGCAGCACTACTCTGTATTCCAGAGAGAAGGTAGTAACTGAAGAAGCATTAAATAACATTGAGTGCCTCCCTGTCCTGGAAGAGTTGGACAGCGAACCAACCTTAGCAGAAATAAAAGCGGCCATGGATTCCCTTGCCTCCAGCAAGGCACCTGGAAAGGATAACATCCCTGTTGAAGTGCGGAAGTGCTTCAAAGAGACCATCACCACCGAACTGTATGAAATCTTTCATCTTTGCTAGAGCGAAGGTAGAGTACCACAGGACATGAAGGCTGCAAACATCTTCACATTGTATAAGAACAAAGGAGACAGGGGCAACTGCAATAACTACCGTGGCATCTCTCTTCTTAGCATTGTAGGGAAGCTGCTTGCCTGTGTTGTGCTGAAGAGGCTCCAGGTGCTTGCAGACAGAGTCTATCCAGAATCACAGTGCAGATTCCAAGCAAATAGATCCACCACTGACATGGTATTCTGCCTCAGACAGTTGCAGGAGAAATGCAGGGAACAACAGCT